CCGTGTGGGGGGGGGGGGGCAGGGTGTCGGCTCCCCGCCCCCGCCCACCAGGGGGGGGGCCGTTCCGGGGGTTCAGCTGGGGAGGGAGGCGGCGGCTTCGCGAGGGCACTCCTGAGGGGCGAGGGGGGCGGGCAGATGGCACAAGCCTGTATTATATGCGGGGCAGGAGATTTCTGATGCTCCCTGGAAGTCGCTCCCACCCCCGCTGCTTTTTGCCCTTGGCCATTCTGTTTCTCTGTTTAGGTAAGGAGGCATCTCTACAACGATGACCAGGAGGTCATGGGTTGTCTGGTTATGTTATAATCTTAAAGAGAATTTTTATAATTTTTATAAGATGATGTACTGTTGGTATTTCACCAGAGAAATTGTCTAGAATGTATAAATTTATGTTGGAAATGTGAAGAGACATTTTACCATGTTTGGTGGACATAAAAAAGCCAGAAAATTCTGGATCCACATACATACACTGATTCAGAGGATTTTGAAGATTAATATACAATTGAAACCAGAGGTTTTTCTTTTGGGTTTGGTGGACAAACAGTTGGAAAAAAGTCACGGAACTTTGTTTTTGTACATGACAACTGCAGCGAGATTATTGTATGCACAAAGATGGAAAGACTCGGCAATACCCACAGTGGAGGAATGGTTGGTGAAGATGATGGAATTCGCTGAGATGGCTAAATTGACCTCTTTGATCAGAGAAAAGACAACATCTACATTTATGGCTGACTGGAAACCCCTTATGGACTTTTTGGGTAAAACAGAAAAAAATGAACTTATGATTTATGGTTTTGATGATTAGACAGGATAGGTTATAAGAAACAAGAGAGGTATGTTGTAACCATAGAGTGAGAGGTGAACTTATAATTGTACTTATAACTGCTGTAAAGAAAATTAGAAGCTACTTCTTTGTACCTTTTTTCTTTCTTTTCTATTTTTTCTTTACTCTCTTCTTTCTTGCACTTTTCTTTCTTTCTCTTTCTTTTCTTTTTCTTAGTTTGTGTTAGTTTGTGTTAGTTTTTATATTCTTTTTAAAAATATTTAAAATATATAAAGAGATCTCCACCATGACCAAAGGATGGGGCAACAGCTGGCCTTGCCAGGGTCTCATGAGCCCCACAGAAGTGCTGTTCCTGTGGCCAAGGCCCAGACAGGACTCACCAATGATGGCGTGCACTCGAACTGAGAGCTGTGTGCGCAGAAGCAGGATCGGCCGCCTCCCTTTGCTGCAACAAGAAACCAAGCGGGACACGGTCAGGACGTGCCAGTGCAGCTCCAGCAAGCATCCAAGAACCCCTTCCTAGTTCAAGACCCACCACCACCAGCGCCCGTCATCTGCTGAAACCAAAAGGCAGCATTCAAAGGAGAAGGACGCCAGATAAGAGCCACAGTCTTCCCACGGAAGCCCAGCAACGGGGGTCAGGGAGGGAAAAGGAGCTGCATGCGTGGACACCAAGCAGGATGAACTTAGCTTGCACATGACCTAATAGCCATAGATTGGGATCTGCTTGGTTGCATCACACACATTATGTCTTAGACTGCAACTTCTGAAACCCCCAAATTACAGATGCGGTTCTCCTTCCAGATTAAAGACTCTAGACAAGCTGGCGTGAAGTGCGTACAAGGGAGATTGCATGCGCAAAAAGGTGGTAAAATCCTCGCAGCAGAGATTCACCTGATATCTTCATAGAACCCTTCCAGCTCATCTTTCTGCTCCAGCAGCGAAAGTTCAAGGTCCAAATAGTGTCCAGAAGGCAACACTTGCAAGGTGCAGTCCTCCAGCTGCAAAAGAGGGACACATGTGGATGTTAACAAGGCAAGGAAAGTATGCTCTGGAATTCTTCCGGCCCCTTTCCCAGCGGTGGGCACAGAAGGGGTCTGCATTTTCAGAGGGGGAACCCGGAGCACCCGCATCCAACGCCTGCTCCCTTTCGAGGCAGGACCAGATCCTGCCCCTCAGCTCAAGCTGTTTGGGCCCCAGGACTAACACTGAGGCCTGAAATCAGATGCACACACCAGCGGATTCACTCTGCAAGCGGGTCGGCCTGATATGGCTGGCAAGAGCCACCCTGACCATCCAGGGTGGGTTGCCTAGATGAGGGGAGCCAAGAGAGCTGCATCCCCAGGTCCACTATGGCACCCACCTGCATCCTTCCTGCTCACCCCTTTTGTGCCTTTGGTTCAGATTTAGAGTCCTCCACGTTTCAGAAAAGCAGCCTGTGTGACTTGGAGAAGAATTTCCTCCCAGGGTTGAAGAGAAAAGAATCAGGGCCTCTGAGGAGGGAGGCATGAGTTTGCAGGTGCCATTCCCCTCCCCAGGCTCAGGGAGAAGCCCCCAGCTCAGGCAGGGCTCCAGAGACCTGGAAGGGGAGATCTGCCCCCGAGCCCTTACAGGAGCAACCGCTGACTTGGCACTCAGGAAAAATGTGAGGCAGATCCAAAAGTCTCTGTGGCCCCCAGAGAACTCCCTTGGCCTGGCCACAAAACCAGCCAAAGGGGCAAAGTGGATTCTGTGCAAATCTGGGGAGCCCACCGCCAGACGCTGAGCTCCCAGGAGGACAGGCAGTGCATCCAGCCTGGCGCTGCAGGAATCTCTCAAGGATAAGGCCAAGCAACTGAAGAACAGCTGGATCCAACACCCCCAGGCCCACTTGCAAGCAACCCTTCTCTGGCCCCCTCCAGCCCCACCCTTGGCTCTCTCCGAGAGGCGCTGACCCCCACCTTGCCCATTGGGAAAGGACTCCACTTTCAGAAGCAGCAACTTTCCAGCTGCGGGCTCTACGGGGCCACACCAGGGGCTCCTCCCAAGTCTTGCTCGCCATGGCAACAGCAATGGAGCCTCCGTCTCATCGACAGCCTGTTGCCGAGGCACCGGAATCCAAGCTAAGGTATTTCCGCACAAAAACTACCTTTTCCGTTTTGTGCCAGCAGAAGGTCTCCCGGGTGGGCATTCCGGGGCTCACAGACAAGGCATCTTGGGTGGTCAGCAATCTGCTGGGCCCAGCTGGGCCACTGCAGGACCACCTCATCCCATCCAGCTGCCGAACTCTGTGCCTCCATGGATCTTCCCACTGTGGCTGTCACAGGGCCTGGGCACCTCACCTTAATGTCCATAGGAACAGCAGGAGGTCAACATTCCCACAGCTATAGCTTTTAAAAACCGCTGCAGAGCATTCAGCCCCTGGCCTGATTCATTCTGCACGGGCAGAAGATTCCACAAGCAATAAACATTTTATTCTCGACAAACTGGCTAATCTAAGAATTTGGGGTGAGGCTGTTCTTATGCAACCGCATGAACCTCCCTTGATGACCAGTCTTGGGCCTCACAACTCTTCTTGTCCAAGTACAGTAAAAAAAAATGGGGAGGGGCAACAGTCAATGTTCAAGCAACTCTCCCAATAAAGGACTTTTCAAGGAATGGCATTTGCACTTAATTTTACAGGGCTAACAGGTATAAGATTAATTATAGTAAATAATGAATGCATCAGAACCGTGGGATTTGTTCCCAACTGGGGCCCCAAGACGGGCATCTCAGACTCCCAGTAATGCTCCAGCTCAGCTCCGAACAACCCAAACAGCCAAAGGTGGCATCAAGGCAAGCTTATCAAGCACCATATGAGGTGCCTGTTATGGGCTGTCCTTACTGCAGGCCTTGTTCAAAGAGCTTCACGAGCACACGTTCTTCCAAGCTCATCCACTGTAGACTGAGGGAAGCACACGAGGCAGTTTACAACAAGGTTCCTTCTGGGGTACTTCTCCTGTCATCCTGAAATTTGGTATCTTTAAACTCAAGCAAGCCAAAAAGGCAGAGTTCCTCTGTTTGCTGTATACAGAGCTTACATCATGCAGCACAGGGTCTTATTTTAGCAGCTACTGACCTAAAAAATGTGAGGGTCATTGTTTCCCAAGGCTTGAACTCTATGCAGAAAAAGTCTCTCTTCCTATTGTCAACCCAGATCAAAATGTACTCAGACTGCAAATCCCTCCAGATGATTCAAGCAAGAGCAGGAACACCTCGGCCCTCCTCCTGGTAGGCAAATCTTTCCCAGTCCCAGCTGTACCGAAGTAAAGTGCCAGAGGCGCTAGATGCAACATCAGGACTATGTAAAAGGAGGTAGAAGTTGAGGAACCTGGAATCACAGGAAGTTTTAGACTGGGCAATAAAATGTTATGAAGAAAATTCTTGGTGTTCTTCAAAACCTGCTTCATAAACACAGACTCTACACCTGGACATCGTTGAATGCACAGCCCTGCAAACAAACTGATGACAGAAGAGGAAATGGAAGATAGAGAAGAGCATCTAGTCAGTCAGGGCCACACCAGGTGCAGACTGGCATCAAGTAGACAGATTAAACAGAGTAGATGAGTCAGCAAGATACCAATCTAGAGAATGTACAGTCAGAAGATAAGAGCAATAAAAGTAACAGATTTACTCTGTCTGACATGTGAAAGAAAAGCTAAGGAACTATGGAATAAGAGAAGAGGCACCATTAAAAAATTACTGTAAAAGTGGGGGGAAAAAACCAAATTTCCAAAGAGGAAAAGTCTCTTGATAGGCAAGGAAAGTCTGAGGTGGAAAGCCTTGGACATCAAGAAGAATGGACAGCTAAGCCCAGACTTCCAAGGTCAAGCCAAAAAAGACACGGACGAGAATGTTGTGAATAGAGGGGCAAAGCAAGAAAAGGGAAACAGAGAGATCAAAGGGAAATTTACAACCAAAGTAAGAATACTCAAGTATAAATGCAGGGGAGCCAAAAAAGGCAAACAAAATTAAAGATGGAAAGACTTTTCTGAAATCTTTTACATCTGTAGTGAGAGAACATGACTCTGCTAAAAAGGGAGGTAAAATAGATAACAGACCAGCTGTTAAAAATCCTGTTTAATTCTCATCCAGCCTTTCAGAATCCTAGTACTGCATACACTTATCAGTTGAGCAATTTAGTAATCTAGCTTTTAAGTACTTTAGATGCTCCCTAGCATTTTAATGTTCCCATTTATACTGTATTTTTGTTTGTTTTAACTTGTTCTATGTGATTTATTTATTCATTTATTTTTATTTATTTATATTTCAAATTTGGTCACTGCCCATCTCACTAGGAAGTGACTGGGTGGTTTACAATGAAAAAATATATATTAATTAAAATACAGTAAAAATAGTATAAAAATACAATGAAAATACAATAAAAACCAAATACATACATACATAATAATATCTTCCAAGGTGCTGCTGGTAGAAAAGATATTAACATACAGGAGCACACTAGCCATCTCTGGGGTTGGTTGTCCCTTTTCACACCCCATGCAAGTTGGCAGAATTTAGAAAATCTTCTTTTAATTTTTCCTGAGCTCTGTACTTCTGATATGAAACTGTATAAAATTTTGGACAGTGACACAATAAAGAATGCTAGGTGCAGATAAAATTCCCACTAAACTGTTTGAGCCATGGAGCAAGGCAGTTAAAGTGCTAACAGATCTACGTCAACAAATCTGGAGAAGTCTGGCAGAGAAATTTCCCTAGGGAAATTAAAGAGAAAGCGCAATGGTTCAGTAATTTGTACAAATTCCTCAGGCCAAGTTTTGTTTCAGACAATAGTGCCGCACACGGAGAAAAGCCACATTAACAGGCAGGTTTCAGAAAAATCAAAGGGGCATGAGATCAGACAGCTAATGTAAGATAATGCAGAAAGTCAGATAAAACAAGGTTCAGCTTTGTTTCAGTGACTACACAAGACTCTTAGCCAGAGTCCAGATGTCCAGATCATGCCAGAATGTGTAATATATTAAAGCTAGTAGGTGCAGCTAGACCACTTGATTACTCTTCTAGGAACTTCTTACTCTTCTCTTTTAATTTTGCTCAACTTTTCAGGGAGCAAACTGCTTACCCTAACAGTTAAATGAGGAGACAGACTGAGTCAGAAGAGGAGGACAGCAGGCATAAATGGATGCTTCACCCATATCTGTTTAACCTACCCTAAATATGTTGTAATAATGGCAGAACTGGGAGAGATGATAGCAGGAATCAAACAGGAAGCTGAAAACCAAACGTTTGCTGATACACAGCCACCTCCACTTTGTTGATAGAAAGGAAATAAGGCTTGAAACAACTCTTTACGAAAGTAAAAATGGGAAGTGGAAAAAGCCAAGTTAATGTTAAATATTAAGAAAACAGGGGTAAATGTCAACAGGCATATTTAGCGAACTTATCATTTATGGCAAAGAGATGAAAGTGGCACACAATTTGAATAAAAAGGAATGGACAGTGTGCTGGAAAAGTAAGGAAGAGATTTATCCTAGGGACAAACTTAGACAAAATATTGGATGTTTCATTCATTCATTCATTCAATTTTGATGTCACCCAACTCCAACTCTGGGTGGCTCACAACAATAAGAGTAACATAAAAACAACAAAACACAAAGAATTAACCAGAAAAAGTACAAAAACACCTACAGAATTACAAGAGGACAATCCAAGCAGCAAAGCAAAACATAAAATATGTTGTCCAAGTTTCAGTAAAGACTGAAGTAAGAACATTTGAGTGACAACAAAGATCAGACTAAAGCAATGGTCTTTCCAATGTAATGTCTGGCTCTGAAAGCGGAGCACTAAGAATGATCAAGAGAAGGAAGACAAGACGCTTCTGAATTATTGATTTGGTGACAGTTGCTAAGAGCTTGGCGTCTGCTGGTCCTCCACCAGATAGCCTGACTGCTCTTCAAGGTGACGATCACACAAGCAGAAGCTCAAGTATGTTGAGGACAGGACATGAGTGGATGATGGACTAGGGAAAAAGACAGTTATACTTGGCAAGAATGAGGGAACCAGGAAGGAATGCCAATGAATAAGTGAGACGGGCAGCATCCGAGATTAATGGGATGCCCTTGGAAGACCCTCAGGTTTTACTAAAGATAGGCCAAGATGGTGAGTGTTTGACCATGTGGTCACTAGGAACTCAACCCTACTTGAGGGTAGTTGGCTGGCTAACTAATTCTGCATGTTATTGTCTTCTTATATGGAGATTAATCTTTTATGGGCAGCTTAAAACTAAAATAAATAAATGCAACACGTGTGTGCCACAGTGCTGTCAGATTCTCAAGGTTTTCTGCCTTGTGTTATTAGTGTCTACGCGTTTGATGAGAGTAGAGAAGCAGTCGGTTGCTTACAGCCCCATTTGGTGACAGCTCCTCTGCACTTGAGTCCACCAACCCACTGGGGCCATGCCAAAGAACGTGGCCCACGCTGCCCTCTGCCTCTGCAAAATCCTCCCCTGTGTTTTCCCTCCTGAAGGACCCCCCATCTGGACAAGGGAGCTTCAGAGGAACTGAGGGCTCCATGACCCTCTTAGGGGCCCAATATTTGTCCTTCCATCTCATCCCACAGCCCCACTGCGGGCATTTTTAAAAGCTTCCATATTAAACCCAAGGATCACTTAGCCAGGCCTGCAGCTGCTTTAACATTTGGAACCACCACCAGGCTATGATAACAGTTGTTATTTTTGCACTTGGTTGGAAATGCTGTTCCTGTTTGTTCCCAGCTCCTTTTAGCAACAGACAAAAAATATCCCCCGGCCATGACTATGGCAACATGAGCCACTCAGCTGCTTTGCGCCGAGAATAAAAAAGGCCCCGAGTGTGTCACGCGGCGGGAGGCCACACAGCTGGGACCAGCCCCGGCAAGCCCGGCCGGGGCAGGGACCCCCGAGACCGCTACCCGGAGCAGGGAGGACGGCGCTCCGGCCCAGCTGGCGTGGCTCCGGGGACTTCTCTTTGGGGACAGGGAACGGGAGCGCCCCTCGCCGAGGAAGCGCGCGCGCCAGGCAGGGTAGACCCACCAAGGCGATCCAAACCATCCGGGGCATCGCAGAACCCGGCGCAGGGGTCGGCAGCTGACCCTCCCTAGTGGTTCATCTTGACCTGGGCCAGCTTTGGGGGGCAGCCTGCTCGCTTAGTTAGGGCCCAACGCAACCCGTGAAGCCGGAAAGCAGCGAACTCGGCGACCCAGTTGAGGGAGCTGGGTGACTCCAGCGGGAGCGCGCGCGTCTGGCAGAGGCAGCTCACGGGGATGGAGGAAGCCCTCGCCCGCTCTTCCGCTACCCTGGGACGGGACTCACCCCACCCCCCCGACGGCGGGTCCTGTCCGAGCACGCAGGGGCGGAGCGGGGCTTGGGGCACCCCCCGCCGCCCGCCCCA